AGAACCGCAGGAAAAGATAGAGATGTCCATTTTTACTCTGTAGAGCCTCTTTCACAGCTCTCTGATGCAGCTCAGATAATGAAACATGTTCTGATGAATTGAGTTTAAACCAGTCCTGAACTTTAGACCATAAACTCTGTTTATTGATTGGCTCAAACACATTTATGATGTGGGTTGTACAGGAGAGGTGCACGTATAGAGCTGCTAGATGTTCCTGAATGCTCAGATGAACAAAGCAGAAGACTTTCCCCTTATACAAGCCAAACTCCTCTCTGAAGATCTGAGTGCACAATCCCGAGTACACTGATGCTTCTGTAACATCAATGCCACACTCTCTCAGGTCTTCGTCATAGAAGATCACCAGGAGAGGTGCACATATAGAGCTGCTAGATGTTCCTGAATGCTCAGATGAACAAAGCAGAAGACTTTCCCCTGATACAAGCCAAACTCCTCTCTGAAGATCTGAGTGCACAATCCTGAGTACACTGATGCTTCTGTCACATCAATGCCACACTCTCTCAGGTCTTCCTCATAGAAGATCAGGTTGCCTTTCACAAGCTGCTGAAAAGCCACTTTCCCCAGTTTGAGGATCATCTCTTCATCTGTTACCTTCTTCTCATAGTCCTTCTCGTGTTTGATGTTGGTCTAAAGGATCAGGAAGTGTGTGTACATTTGAGTGAGAGTCTTGGGAATCTCATACAGACACGCACACTTCTTCGTCAGATTTGATCTAAACCTGTTGAGGACTTCATGCCTGTAAAATTAAAATACTGCATTATTAAATAAGCTAATGAGCACAGTGTCTTTTATGTATTCTGTATCATAATCAAATAATCTTTTACAGAAATATTAGACCTGAGATCAGTCTTTGTATCTTCACTCTTATAATCTAACGGCTGATTCACAGACGCGTCACTCCTCATAGACACACAGCTGGACTCTGCTTCTGATCTCTTCTGATGAACTGAACTATAACAGAGAGAGATTAAAGGGAATCCTTTGAATTACCATATTAAACAAAGTACATCTTCATTTATTATTTAAACAATCACTTTAAAAAGCACTTCAGAAACATTTACACTATTTTATTACAAAAAAATGTTATATAGAACTTATTTCACAAATGTGTCTCTCTGTGTAACACTATATATGTTAAAATATCAGCTAAAGATAATTAAAAATAAAGATAACACTATTTTGATAACATAAAATTACATGTTGTAATAATATTTATATAAAAATGTACCTGAGATCAGTATTTGTATCTTCACTGTTAAAATCTATTGGATGTTCCATAGACCAATCACTCCTCATAGACACACAGCTGGACTCTACTTCTGATCTCTTCTGCTGAAATTAACTAAAACAAAACAGATTTAATTTAATTAAGTATTTTTAATCAAAAACTCTCAATGAGGAGGCTTTTTAAATAAAATCTTCATTTTACCTTAAAAACCTCCAGACACAAAAATACGATGGAGACTCCCATCTACCATCATTCAAGGTGATTTAATACAGTGTTTATTCAATGTACCTGCATCCTGGAGAAACATCTTCATCTCTGGATGTTTGTGTGTCATCCATGCTGAAACAGAATCTGATCTCCAGCACTGACTCTGAATGGAAATGACAAACAAACACAATAATTCAGCTGAACGGATCCGGAGGGAAACAGGATCATGACACGCGGCGTTCACTCAGATACACATTGTTAGAGGAAATCTGAATGCGGAAGTTCCCTGTAAAGCAGAGACCTGAGCTCTCAGCACTCACCTTATTCTTACACAGATTCACAGAATCACCGCCTTTCTATGAAGCAGCTACACGTAAAATCATGGCTTATCTTTTATAAAGGTTCTTATGAAACACTTTAATATTACGTATAGAATCGACTCTGGCTGTTTAAATAGAGAAACATCAACTCTGAACTTTTACTTTTACTTTCACTTTTTATTTGTGACCAAGCTGCAACCTCCCGCTCTCTCTCGTGAAGCCAACACGGAAGTGACTTAAACTGTAATTCGTCAACTGGCCACTAGAGGCTGGCTGCGAAAGGGAGTCAGTCCCATAGACTCCCCATGTTAAAATGCCCAACTTTGTAGCAGAAAGAAACATGTTTACAGCCTGGTTAAAAAAATTATTTTGGTCTATATAGCAAATTTTGCCCTTCATGACAACTGTGAGGGGGGTGAATTTTTTTATAAGTCATCCATTTAAATTATATTAAGACTTAAAGTTCTGCATAATTAAGGGCCTGGCCACTTGAGTGACAGGTGGATTGCCGTTGCTGCCCCCAACGTCGGGTGAATTTTTTTTTATAACTCATCCATTTAAATTATATTAAGACTTAAAGTTCTGCATAATTAAGGGCCTGGCCACTTGAGTGACAGGTGGATTGCCGTTGCTGCCCCCAACGTCGAGCTAGGTGGGCGTGGTTTCAGCAACCAGCTCCCACCTCTTTGCCCATTTTCGATTATCCGGGAGTGATGCGCGGTGACGCGATGCCAAGATGGCGACGGGCCGGCTCTGCCCACTTTGAGTTTCAAAAACGCTCTTCAGGAACCTACGGGTGACGTCACGGACACTATGTCCATGTTTTTATACAGTCTATGTTTGTGACACGGACAATGATGGCGTCACTTTACGCACGCGATCTCAAGCCTCATCTGATGTTAAAAATAAACAAATTAAAATTTTGTATCAAAAACGCCTCGGAGAGCGCAAGGTGGCATTTGCGAGGGTTGGCGGTGAGTCCAGCCCTCCGGAGCTCCGAGAGCACCCTCCGCAACCGGTCCAGGTGGTCTTCCCATGCCTCGGAGTGGATTACGACGTCGTCGAGGTAGGCGGAGGCGTAGGCCTGATGGGGCCGCAACAGGATGTCTATCATCCGCTGGAACGTTGCGGGTGCCCCGTGGAGGCCAAAGGGAAGGGTCCGGTACTGCCAGTGGCCACTGGGGGTAGAAAAGGCAGTCTTAGGTTTAGCGTTCTCAGAGAGGGGTACCTGCCAGTAGCCTTTGGTGAGGTCCAACGTTGAGATATACCGGGCCCTTCCCAGCCGGTCCAACAGCTCATCCACCCGAGGCATGGGGTATCCGTCGAACTCAGATACCTCGTTGAGGCGGCAGAAGTCATTGCAGAAGCGGAGGGTGCCGTCCGGTTTCGGGACCATCACGATTGGGCTGGACCACGGGCTGCGGGATGGTTCTATCACCCCCAACTTCAGCATTTGTTGGATTTCCTCTTCAATAGCTCGCCAATGAGCCTCAGGGACCCGGTAGGGCCGTTGCCTGACGACGACCCCTGGCGGCGTCCGGATGTCATGCTGCAGGACGCTGGTCCGCCCGGGCAGAGCAGAGAACACATCCGAGAACTGACCGACCAGGTGCTGCAGCTCCCTCTTCTGGGCAGCCGAGAGGTGGGGGTTGACGTCAACAACCACGGGATCAGAGATGGCGAGGGCTGCGAGCTGGTCTCTAGTCCCCACCCACTTCTTCAGCAGGTTGATGTGGTAGAGCTGCTCGGCTCTCCTCCTCCCTGGCTGGCACACACGGTACGTCACCGGCCCAATCTTCTCCAGCACCGTATAGGGACCCTGCCAGGTGGCCAGGAA